GCTGTAATAATACAATAACGCTGGTTTCACTATAAGTTACCAATCCTCTTAGCTGCATTTTCCAAAGTGTTCAGAGTCCCCCAACTAGCACCATGGACCCTTGCAGTTGACAGTTCCATATTAATAATATCCACAAAGGTGAGGATCCATCGTCACCAGGTCAGAGTATGTGGAGGTTGCAAGCATAAAGCAATTTTTTATTTTTATTTTTTGTCTGCTGTGAGACCAGCCAACCAGAATCGCATTTCAGCACAATATAAGTTACATTCAGAGTCATCCTTTAGAAGCAAAGTTTGGACTTATATATCTGTTTGATAATATAAAAGAAGGCTTAGTCCAAAACTTGTGCACATTTGGGCACTCCTAGTACATATGTAAAAATGAAAAAGCTGAAACGAATCTGTCTCTAAACGATCATTTTGAAAAGCACAAATTAGACACCATAATTGACCAACCAAAAGAAATGTATGGCAACATGAATTGTGTGGAGTTCTGAAAAACAGAGATGAATGCCTGTAGCCTAGGTGTATGTAATCTTTTGGCCTCAGATTTGGACACCCAGCCATCTTTGTCATATATATATATATATATATATATATATATATATGTATATATATATATATATATATATCCAAAATGATGAATGATCCCAGGCCAATGCTGAATAATAAATGTCCTTGTGGCAATTACTTAAGATTGGTTCAGCTAACTGAAAGAGAAATACAGCATGAAGAACCTTATGTGCTACTTTTGTTAAAGCACTAGTAGACAACAGGTACAATTTTAACATGCATTATCATTCAGCACTACAAACAGCCAAAGCACCAGAGCACACAACACTCTACCCCATGTCAATGCACTCTTACAGACTGTTCAGCAGTCAGTTCCAGATATCTGAATGTTCATAAAGTCTGAAGTCAAACGTGGTCAAATTACAGTCAGTAAATTAGCAAATAAGATCTTAGTTTTACACAGAAAAAATATATAATGCTATTAATAATACTGGACAAATATTTCACACTTTGCAATGACAAGTCTTCACTATTTGGATTATGTTTAGTCAGTGAAAATATTCAACACAAACAATAGTTGATAGACTGGATTCAGAGGGTTCTGTCTAAACATTATCACATTCTGACATTTTCTGTCTGCAGCCTTTAAATCTCCAATGAAGTGTCACTATAATTGTTTTGTTTTGAGAACTGAAACTGCAAACTGACCAGCCTGCAGTGACTCCTGCATTCTGACTCTAAACTGATGTCTGATTGAAGTTCTGCTGATTTCCAGTAGAGGGAGACCAAGATCCTGCACCTTCACAGTGAACAAATGTGGAAGGAAAAAAAGCAGAAATATGTTATTGATAGAGAGAAAACTCCTCTTCTTTCCTTTATAAACTGACTATACAGTTAATGTCATCAACAGCAGTTACATCATGATTCACAGAAAACCTCCCTCTTTAAGAAGCCTGTATTCACTGATCATACAGTGAAGAGTTAAGATTCAAACCTTTCTTGTTCTTGTAGCACCAAATCAGGCTCAGTATGATGATGAGGATCAGGAAACTCAGTGCTACCACCACTCCTACTGTTACACTACTAGATTCAGAACCTAAGAGAGAAATGGACATTAATTTGTATTTAAACAGATTGTTTACTATAGTTTTGCATAAAAATCAAATAATCTGAAATGTTTTTCTCACATCTGACTCATGTAATATATAGAAAATTTGTAATTCTATGTTCTCAATTACCTATGACAGCTCTGTAGTGACTCTCCTCTCTGTGGATGTTTACAGTGGTAGAGACCTTCATCTGACTTTGAGACAGTACTGATGGTCATCTCTCCTGTAGTCTGAGTCTGGAGGAATAATCCATCTTTGTAGAACTCTTTGTAGACATTGTGTGGTGATATAAACAGTGTAGAGTCAGAGGATCTCCCTCAGTCACAGAATGAACAGAACTGTCCAGAATCACAGAACCATCTGTAGAAGAGAATAACACAATTCTGAAAACAGAAATAACTCAGTGACCTCTGTAATGTCAGATATGAGCTAATATATAATTGTGGGATGGATACAAATTCTTCCAGCAGTTTCACATTCATGGTTTTTCAGTAGATTTCAGACATCTACTCCAGATTTGTAACTGTAATAATACTATTTTAATCTTCATGTGTTATTATAGTCTCTACGGTGTCAATCTTGTGTTGCAGCCAAGAGCTCTCTCTTTTTGCCCAGGGTTTGGACATTTATAATTAACTCTAATATTGTCTATACTATTGCCCTAATAACTATCTGTAACCTAACATCCTCAAAAAGAATTAAAAGACTCAAAGAATGTCAATGAAAATGAAAAAGGATAAAAAGGAATGAAAAAGACTTCAGCCACTGAGTTCTTGGCAATCACAGTGCAAATAACATCTCAAAAGATCCCTTCTTATTCCCCTCTGGGGTGATGAGGTAATCTCCCCACCCCTTTTACACAATTCCATACCATTTTAGTCCCCATCATATCCAAACCTTACACATTTTTTGGTAACCCTTAAAACCAAATGCATATGATGTCTTTTTTAAAAAAAATCCATTCTGGTCTAACCCGTACCAGGCTGTTCCCTCCTTTCAGGGTCCTCTTGTGCAACTCTCTTCTGTGAGTTCAGAAGTTCACCCCCATCAGAGATTCCAGTCCATAGTCTGCTCCCCTTATATTACATTTTTAGGAGGGCTCCAAGCTCTCTAGTCAGCCTATATTTAGTTTATTGTTCGTTAAACAGGGAATGTTTTATTCAATCTTTTCCATCACTTGTAACACATGAGGAATGCTTTTTGGTGTTATATAGAACCATACAACACTTTAAGCATGAAATAGTTCTATACAGCACTAAACAGAACCATTCTCTTTACTAAAGAACCTTTGAAGAACCATCTTTTTTAAGAATATTTTAGTACCTTATTAGGGTCAGGAGGCTTGCATGCATTGGGGATGTACAGCTACACTGCATGGACTTTGAACTCCCTTCAGGGTCTCCTATGGCAGAAAGGTCTTAGCAGAAGTGCCAGATTAAACCTACCACCTATATTAGGTAGCAGCAACATAGGGCAATGTCTGTGGTGGATGACAATAACTGCAAACAGCACATACTGCTGGTGATGATAGACTGGAATGCCAAGTTTGGAAATGAGACAGCTTTGGAAGCAGGAATGAAGCCGGACAACAACTTTTTCATTCAACTTCAAGCTACCCAAGTAATGTATGTACACATGGACATGATGAGATGTACTTTACCAAAACCAAACAGACTATATCCATGGTTGTCTCCAGACATTATATTTACTGGATCATGGCTGGCCCTGTGAGACTAGTGAATGCATCTAATAAAAAAAAATACAGTTAGTCAGTTTTATGAATTCTGTGAGTAGTCAGAGCTAATAATGATGTAAACTCACTGTGCACTGTGATGTTAACAGGATTGCTGCTCTCTCCAGATTCAGACTCACACCGGTACACTCCAGTGTGGGATGTGTAGAGGGAGCTGATGCTGCATGTAGATCCTGTAACTGATCCCCAGCCTGATGAACAATCTGACACCTTCTCGCTGTTTGTGTATCGTCTCACTCTCCATCCAGTAGAGTCACTCTGTCCCTCACAGCTCAGTGAGAGAGAGTCATTAATAAAGTGTTGAGTTCTGCTGGGACCGACCATCAGAGAGACTGGATGAGCCATATCTCATAAAAAAAACAGATTAGACAGACATTGTTTTTCTCAGCAGGGGCATAAAGATTAGTACATAAACATACCACTCACTGATATAATTTGATTATGTAGATATGTACTAAAACAGGACTGCATTTCCTCACCAGTGGCTTTGTACTGCCACACTTTGTGTGATACATTGGTTCTGCTTTCTTTGCTCTTTCAATCATGTTTATTTTCACTTGCAAATACATTGAGGGTGACCCTCATTTACAGTGTGGCTGAGACGAATATACAATGTACAAATATAGTGCTTTACAATATCCTGTATGGAATTCCAGCTGGCTGTAGCTAAAACCAGATTTTCCCAGTTCAGTAAAAAACAAAATAAACAAAAGCCAGTGTGTTTTCTCTTTTACAGCCACAGATGGCCAGCCAGCTTTTTTCATATAGTGTCCTCTGATGAGTGTTGTAAGGGTCACCAGTGACAAATCTCGGAGCTGAGTGATAGATTGAATCTAAAGGCTTAAATTACACTCCCCAGACTAAAAATTCTAATCTTCATAGTCCAGAATAGATAAAACACAGCACAATGCTGTTTACTGTTAATGCTGGTTTCTTTGTCTATTCTACAAAGAATAGTCATCACTTACTGAGTGTCCAAGCCAAGTTTCTGTCAACACAATATTAATGATAATAATTATTAACAATAACATTAGAGATGGGTATTTATAGTAGTAATAATATATATAATAGAGATGGGAATTTAACGCATTAGATTGGAAGGATGAGTTATTCCATAACTTGATTTTGCAATTTTGGACTGTCTTCAACATATGATGGAAGACTGATTGAGGGAGCGGAGTGAATTACTTGAAAACTTCGGCTAGAGTTCTAGGCGGCTTCTTCCTGGAGCTAGAATACCAGACCCCCAATGAATTCCAGGACTGAGAACTGTTTGGGTCTTGGACTGAGTCAGAAGATGGTGCATTTGGGTATCTAAGTTAGATGTAGTGCACTATGCTTCATATGGTTTGGTGAAGGAGCTTAGTTTAAGCAGGAAAGGAGGTCTACTTAAGTTGGCCAATTGTAAAGCAGTATGTTGAAATTAAGGTTTGTAAGATGAAAGAAAAGATGGAGCACATTAATTTGATTTAGTTTAAAATCTTGAAGGTGACATCGTTGTGAGCTGCTTAACATATGTACAGGACCCTGATGAACAGCAGGTGACAGCAGCAAGGAAAGGGATTCTTTACCTAGGAAAGAATCCCTTTCCTTGCTGCTGTCACCTGCTGTTCCCAAACCAGGGAACTAGCCGTATGTCTGTAAAAATTAAGTTTATTTCTTGTGCGCAAGTACCAGACACCTAGCCAGCTTGTGAAACAATGGACTGACACAGTTTTATAGCTGGACTGATGCCACTATTAGACCCAGTCTAATACTCCAGATAATAATGTATAACATAGCACTAAACACATTACACCACAATAAATTCATAGCAAATTAGGGTTGCAAAGAAGAAACCTCATGAGGAATCCGGACTCAACAGGGAAGTCCCTTTGGTCAACACCAGATTGCGAAGACTGTGCTAGTGTTGGATATGAGAACATGGCAGGTAAAAGGTTTGATGATATTAAAGCTGATTGTAACTATCTGACCAGAATGGACATCGAGCAGGGACGGCTGTTAGAAAGTAGTGGTTGTGTATAGATGTTGGTGGTGTCCTGTTCACAACAGAATGGTTGATCAGTTATAACAGCATATGAGGATCACTTGATTGAAATTCAAGCCCCCAAAAGCCAGTTATTGTGAATTGACATGACTCTCATAGACTGAAGATGAGAGAGCGAAGTCAACAGTACTCTGGAATTATAACTACAGTGACCATGGTAGTGCTACCTAAAGAAATGACACTGACATCAACACAAATAATAACTTTATATTTTCTATATTGACTTTATATTTTGCAGTATTTATAGATTGTAAACTCTATCACTCACCAGTAGTGTTAATCAAGTGTGCATCACTGTAGTGAGTGTAGTAGACTGGGTTTCCTCTCCCAGCTCTGCACCAGTGCTGTCCTCCATCAGAGACATTGACTGAGCTGATGGTGTAGGAGCGAGTTTCAGTCTTGGTCTCATTCTCAGGGTTCTGTGTGTGTTTGGACCAGTAAAACTTCCATCCAGCAGACTGATCCAGATTATAGTACAGAACCACTGGATTTCCTATCAGTGCAGCTCCTTAATGGCTTGATGTGAGTTCAGGTTTAGGTTTTTCTGCTGTTGGAGATAAAGCACACAGTTCAGACCATGAAGAGTTCACACACTTACACTGACAATTTTTCTAGGAATATAGGGCCAGATTCTTAAAAAACACGGTTAGAATTACCTTGATGTTAAGTGTAAATAGCGCTAGAATTTTTTAAAACTCAGTGTCCACTCATTGTCCACTCTTTTAGACACTCCTACCATGTTCAGTCAGAGACGATAGCTCATCTGCTGCTGCACAGTTTGTGTTGGTCATCCTCTAGTCCTTCATCAGTGGTCACAGGACGCTGCCCACAGGACGCTGTTGGCTGGATATTTTTCGTTGGTGGACTGTTCTCAGTCCGGCAGTGACACTGTGGTGTGTAAAAGCTCCAGCAGCACTGCTGTGTCTGATCCACTCAGACTAGCGCAACACACACTAACACACCACCACCACGTCAGTGTCACTGCAGTGCTGAGAATGATCCACCACCCAAATAGTATCTGCTTTGTGGTGCTCCTGTGTGGCTCCTGACCAGCGAAGAACAGGGTGGAATGGGGCTAACAAAGTATGCAAAGAAACATGCTGGCAAACCTTCTAACTCAGCATAAGAATCACCAAAGCATAACCAGAGGTGAGTTACAAAAAGGGACTACTTTGTATGTGTTTCTAGCTTCATGTAGATCATGCAAAAAGAACAGACTTTTGGAACGGTTTGGAAACAGGATAACCTATTTATTAGATCTACGCAGAACCCGACAGTAATCAGATTGTCCACAGTCAGGGCTCGATTTAAGTGTTGGATACTCCCTGGTCAAAAAACAAAAAGACAAAAATCATCATACAGTTGTCACCCCTCCACTTTCTATCCCTTTTGGATTAATGTGGTCATGTCACCTCCTGTCTATATTTTAATTATATTGATATTTGAGATTAAACAACAAATTCCCTTTAAAGCACTTGCGTTAAAGTGCATTTAAATATAGACTCTGTGTACTTCAGTGTGCACTGTGTGCATTTAAATTTGGATTGTGTATATTTAAATGTGCACTGTGGGTATATAAATATGGACTGTGTGTATTTAAATATGTATAGTGTGTATTTAAATATGGACAGTATCTTTGGTAATATGCTGGAGCAACTTTTATCTAAAAGAGACCCTGTAAAACTATTAATGATGATAATGACAATTGTTATCATTATTATTATTGTTGTATTATTGTCACTGTTATCATTAAACTATTCTTATCATTAAACTATTGCAGCTCCAGTGAAGCCTCAGCTCTGAATTATTTTTCCTGCGTCTTTCTCTCTCCAGATCTATGGAGTCAAATTGAGGTCTTTAATAGTGATGAGAAATACAACTATTACAAAAATGTGGTCTCAGTCAGATGCAAAAATAATTTGATATTGCAAACAAAGAAGAGAAATTGTGCTACCTTTTTTCTTCTTGCAACGTTTTTAGTATAAATCTTTTTCTTTGCGTTTTGCGATTTACACTCATAACACTTTACATGAAGGGTACATGATCTGCCAGGAATCAAAGCATTTACTAATGAATAACTTATCAGAAAGTAATGAGTCATTAATCAGGAACAAAAGAATTCATATATATATACATATATATATATATATATATATATATATATATATATATATATAAGAAGTTATATATTAACAACCACAAGATTAAATTACTAACGCATGTACTAATGAATGAAGATGAAGGTAATAAATCTGAATTTATCAGGAATTAATGTGTTAATTTATGTTTGTTGTCACCAGATCTCCCTGAGACACAGTGCTCTGGAATATTGTGTCTATCAAAGTCAACTGTGTTTTTTCTTCTCATCATCTCATCCTTCCTTCATCTTGCTTCATCTTGCTGTGTAAGCAGCCCTTGTATTTGCCTGTCTCTGTCTGTCAGGTCTTGAGTTGTGTTTTTTCTTTCTTAAGTAATCTTGTTTCTACCTACCTAGTGACTGTCTATTTAATAAAATTAAAAGCTTACACTGACATCTTTTTGCAACTAGTCATCATTTGTAACAGTTGCCATAGTTTTATTTAATTGTTCATGTTAATAATATGACACATTTTAACTCCTATGTTGATACACAGTTCAGTTACCACTGAACTTGAAAATTAGTTAATAATTGATAGGCAAAGTATAGTGCCTTCATGAGAAACACAAACACCTTACTACTATTAAAACCAAAAAGGTTTACTGTAAATAAGTAAACAGCAAACCAAATATTTAAGCTACTTCACAATGAATTCAGAAATAACGGCATTTGCAAATCTGTTCTGTTTCACCACAGATAACAGCTGCATGTTTTACATGTTAGTCAGAAAAGATGTGAGGTACGAAAATACATACTAGCACTCACAACACTCAGACAACTAGGAAATACCATGTGCAAACATTATATCTGCGATGTATATTGTGTATATAGTTCAGTATGCGTATGCATAAAATTAAGAAAAATGCTTTCATGATGGAGATTTTTAAATTATTATTTCCATGATTTTCACTCGCTTCTCTTAAACAGTTTAATAAAGATATTCGCCCAAGACTTTATGGCTGCTTGACATATAGCAGTTATCGCAATTACTGCCACATACTGGCAAAGGAAAATAGCTGCGGAAACAGTTGAGTTTCATTCCAAAATACTGTTTCCATTACTAAAAACAATAGATATAACACATTTTAAAAAAAGAATAACAGATGTACAATGGGAAACACATTTTATTATTAATTATTTATTATTATATATTTATTATTATTAAATAAAGGTGGTATTTATCATAATATCGGTGGCATATATTAGGATAATTCACAATTTTAATAAAATCAAATGCCCATTTTCAGTAAATAAATTGCAGTGTGACATAGGTAATCATAAAGTGCATGAATAGGATGAAACTAACAGAGCTTCTAGCAGAATTTTCCCATTCCAGCTTAAATGGTGCAGCAGTCACTTTCTGGTTCCTGAAGCTGCACCATTTGAGGTGGAATGGGAAAATTCGAAAAGTGTGCTGGCTGATGCACCATTTAAGGTGGAATGGGAAAATGTGAACAAGAATCTGGTAAGAAGCTGACTTCAGGTTTGTGTAAGAAGGTGCCGTTAATCTATTATGAATACACAAATTAAGTAATGCTATAACTTACCTAGTTACAAAGTATTAAACATCATTGTAAATAAATAACTACTACATGAAGTTAAGATCCCCTATATAGCCTATTACATGAAATAAGCTTAATCTAAAACCATTTGAAAAAACAATCAAATCAACAGGTTCTTCGTGCCTCACCAACCAAACAGCCATATCTGCTCATAAACATCACACAAACAATACGCATCACACAAACATGAGTGTGGATCGCTGCGTTCCCTCTGTTAGATAATCCCATCGTGCAATATTCTTGAAACAGCTAATTTTGGACAGTATCCTTCCAAAACTGCCACTCTGTAATGGTACTTAATGCAGTCCAGCAGCGATGTTGACCGCCCCAAAATGGCGGCGCTGTTGACGTGCCTGGCTGGACCCAACGCAGCATCTAGGTATGTATGTCTATGGTTGAAATGACGGGCTGTGCAGCGGCGGCTCCAGCTGATGATGTGAAACATCCATGACATGTCTTTCCATCTTGGCCACATCTCTCTCCTCCTCCCACGCCCCCAAATCAAAAAGAGCTCACAACTGATGCACAAACAAAAAAGAGTAACGCAAAAGGGGAAAGTACAGCAGAAAAAAATGGGACCTTTTATATTTTTATAACTCTATTTTTTTATTATTTTATTATTAAGAATGGAAAATGCAAAATGGAAAAAAGCTCAGAATTCATGATTTAAATGCATGTTTTACATGAAACAAACTTTGTTTTGAGGGACTAAAATAAAAAAAAAAATGTAGTTTTTTTTATTCAAAACAGATATTGAAGAAACACAGATTTAATTAAATCAGAATTTAAGCACGTCAGTTCACTTTTTAATTATAATAGAAAATACTATGCTTATGTCAGCAGTTCTTCCCTTATAATTCTCAGCTCTGTTTCTAAAAAAAATGTTTTTCTTATTTCTTCTTTCTTTCTTTGTATCTATTTTGGCAGCCAACTGGAGCTTCACTTGTTGTGTGTCTTTAATATATATGGGCTCATTTACATGTGGATTTTGATTGGCTCTTGCTGAGAACCAGATGAAAATACAGCAGCATTAAACCACATCAGACCACTGACCACCGCCATAATGACTTTATGAACAGCTCTTATTTACTGCGCTACACATGTTGCACAAAGTAACACTGTTACTGTGGAGTTTTATTAATTCGAACCATTGTTTCTTCTGAAAGGAATGTTTTTTGTTTCAGTTCTACACACCATAGGGTCACTGCTGGACTGAGAATAGTCCACCAACCAAAAATATCCAGCCAGCAGCATCCTGTGGGCACTGATAAAGGACTAAAGGATGACCAAAACAAACTGTGCAGCAAAAGATGAGATACTGTCTCTGACTGAACAAGGCAGGAGTGTCTAATAGAGTTTTGTTTTAGTTCTACTAACATAATACACTATCCTCTAAAATACATAAAGCAGTAATCTTACCTTTCACTGCAAGAGTAACAGGATTGCTGGGTTGTGATGATGAGGGTCTGTTATTTCTCTCTCCTCTACACCAGTACTGATCCTGATCTGCCGCTGATCTGATGGTGAAGGTGTTTGTCTGAGACTGACTGACTGCAGTTCTACTGCTGCCTTTATACCATTGATATCTCCAGTTACTGTGAGACTCTATCTCACACTTCAGAGTGACTGACTCTCCAGTGAACACAGGACTCCATTTGGGCTCTGCAGTCAGTGTAGATCTGGGTAAAGCTGTGGGAACAGAAGAGAGGAGAGAGAATAACCCATACAGTTTACATTGCTCTATCAGTAATTGAACATGTCATTGTAGAAATCTTAATGTTCACATCGTAATATGTTTTTTTAGTTGACCATTTGACTTGTAAGAAATAACTGACTGAAATAACTACAATACTGTGTAAATGTCTTAGGGACCAAAGCACAAAAGCTATTTAATCAGGCTGCAGATGCTTGTTAGCCCAGAAAAACACCAAAATTAGAATAATTACAAATAATACTAATAAAGAAAGTGGTGATTTCACATATGTCTATGTGTTTACTTAATCATTTCCAAACCTCTCTTTATAACAGACTGGTGGCATTTGTAGTTACCACCCAATACTTTCAATGTTCTTTCAAAGTTTTTGTTTGATGGGGGCACTGAGGAGAAATCTGGAACCAAACTTTGTTCCTCAAACAAGCTCAAAAGATATCAACTATATTTTGAAAACAAGAAATGCTTGTACAATGTTTGTTTCTGATGTACACTGTATAATTGGATATTCCTAAATGCAGTATTAAAATGTCCTTTTGTAACATTAAATAAAATAATTAAAAACTTAAGACAAAAACTCGCCCAGCTTGTGATTTGCTGATATACTAATAATCTAATTTTACAGAAATGTAATGATATTTATGAACTCACCCTTTACAGTGAGAGTAACAGAGTTACTGTACTGTGATGATGTTGGTCTGTAAAGTCTCTCTCCTCTACACTGATACTGATCTCCATTAATCACAGCATCTTCTCTGATGGTGAGAGTGTCTCTGTTTACAGTGTCATACACAGACTGAGACACTGCAGTCCATCTACTCTGTTTATTCTGTTTATACCACTGATATGTCCATCCATCATGAGTGATAATCTCACACTTCAGAGTGACTGACTCTCCACTGAACACAGGACTCTCTGGTTTTACAGTCAGTGTAGGTTTGGGTAGATCTACAGAAAGAAGAGAACAGCAGTGCATATTCAGAGCTATTTAGAGTCAGTTTCATTATTGAAAACACAAACTAAACATCTGGTCTCATCTGTATTTCTGTGATACTGAGGTTAATGAACACTGAAGAGATGATCACACTCACCTGATACAGTCAGTGTAACAGCATCACTGATCTCTGATGACTGTGAGTGTGTTGCTCCTCTACAGGTGTATTTTCCACTGTGAGACTCTGTAACAGGGCTATATGTAACTTCCTGTGCTGCACTGAATATGTATGATGTGTGATCATTCCTTGTCCAGCTGTAGCTCCACTCAGTGTCTCCTCCTCCCTGTTTGTCACATCTGAGAGTGACAGTCTTTCCTATAAACACATGTTCATCAGGCTGTATGGACACCACAGCTTTTGGTCTCTCTGTGGATAGAAAATAAAATACACTCAGAACAAACATTCCACTGATGCAATTGTTTTCATGTCTATATAGAAATAAACAATTTTGTTTTTAAATAATAGCACACAGAATGTACACATTCAGCTGCTCCTGAAACGAAATTTCTATATATCTGTAAAATTTACAAGAACAGAATAAAAGACTTTTTAAACAATTTGTTGATTAATTTTAAAGACACAACAGGATACATCACAGGTTTCACTCGCTCATGTATCTGTCACTTGTCTGTCGTTTGTTTCTGTATCCTGATCTCTGTCATCCTAACCAGACCAAAACACAGCCTTATTAAACTACAAATTAACCCCACAATTCTACACCAACTGTCAATGATTTCTTTATTATTCACAAAAATATCCCCATATTTCTAAAGAATCGTCCTGCTAACGAAGCCCTAATACAGCCTTATTCAACTCTGACAGTCCTATACCAACAGTTCTGTTAACCAGGTCTAAACACAGCTTTATTAATCTACAACATAATTAGTTCTATATTAACTCGACCAAAAGTGAATGATGTGTTTATATTTAGTTACATCACTGGGTCAAATGTTTATGTATGTGTATATGAATGTAATGTAGCACATGTCCATGTGAACGTTTCACCTTCGGTTTGTCTACAGTGGATGAGGACAATCAGCACTAAAGTAGAGACAGAAAGGATATGATGTATTAATATGAAATATTAGCTGGTATCACAGGTAGATTTAATGAATGAGTCGTGCAGAGCTGGAGCTGGAGATTCAGTTCATGACAGATAAAGTCTGTATTCAGACTGAATATTAACAACTTCATACAGCAGCTCTCACTCTAATGAAGACATAAAGAGAACATTTACTCACAGAGTATTACAGAGAGTGACCTGAACTCCATACTGTCCCCGTAATGACTGACTGACTGAACAATGCTCTGTGTTTAACACTCATCACTTCCAGAGAGAGAGAGAGAGAGAGAGAGAGAGAGAGAGAGAGAGAGAGTATTCTGCATTTTTCAGCATCAGCTCTCATTAAAACTGTAAATGAACACTACATTGCAACTTGCATAATGTTATAAAGTCGACCATTAATATATCTTCCCCTGATTGGCCAGTACTCCATTCCACAACACTCCCCAGCTATTTCGGAAATACCTTTGTTTGTCCATATTTAACAATTTTAGTAATGTTTTTTTGGATAAGTGGAACACAGTGCTGTACTTTTATCTTAGAAAAAGGTGCTTACTTTTACCTCACATATCAATATTCATTCAATGGAGGTCAGAGGCTAAACTGGGGAGGAGGGCAGGAAGGTTTGAGCCCCTTTCTGAAATATTATAGGACAGTTTTAAATTTTCCCATTGGAAAATATAGAACACAACTGATTATATATGTCATCTGTATAATGTCACAAAGCGCTGTATTTGGGCAGTGAGTGCGCTAAATGTGGTCCAGAGAGGTCAGCTTTTTCAAGTCTACTGTTTTTATTTTTATTAACAGTGGCCCTAAAACGCCGTCGTACATCAGCACCAGACTGTTATTAGTAAAAGAAACGGCTGAAACGGCAGTGAAAGAAACTGTGTTTAGTTTCTTGAAAGAACTCGGAGGAAACTGTCTGTTTTGTTGAAGGAGAATCGCAGGCAGGGTCGTCTACAGGGCTATCGGTGGCTACATCTCCGCACCATTCAAAGAGGGCATGAAGTTTCACAGACAATGAGAATGATGGTCAAAATGATTAATTCACAAAGAGACAGCAGTGTGTGGATCTCCGGCGCCAGTACAGCAACTGAGACCCCGACTTGTTATGGCAGCCCCCTACAGTTAGCCCACTTTATCCTCCAAATATTACGACTTTTTTCTCGAAATATTACTTTTTTCTCGAAATATTACTTTATTCTCGAAATAGTAAGACTTTTTCTCGAAATCTACTATTTTTATTTTTATTAATAGTGGTCCTAAAACCCCGTCGTAACCCATCCTTTCTTTGACTGACATCATATGAGCCCGCCGTGTCCTTTAGCTTATAAATCACAGTTTACTGACTGTAGCTGCTATTGTTGATAATCAGGGTTAAACAGGATTGATTAAGCATTGATTCAGATTGAAGTCTATGCAGCAACTTAGCAGTAAAGGAGGATCAACATCACAAATCACTGCTATTCTACCGGACAGTAACGTTACTGATAGGACGAAGTGAGCTAACGGTTAAACCAGCCATAAACAATCAAATGATCGTTTCTAAATGTCTCCACTGCAGCTGATTTAGATCATAAGAGCAGCATAACGCTTCATTTGTGGGTGAATCACCTGAACAGGACAGAAAAGTGTCTCGAGGCTCGTCTGAAGTTTTTCTCAGCAGCAGCGTCACAATCACACTGATCACGTGACCAACAGGAACGGAGCTTCGGGACTAAAAGTGAAACTGAAACTGAAACTGATCCCCATCAGTGGATTGCTTGTCCTCAAAACCTGGTGATGTCATCAGTATGTAAAAAGGTCCAAACACTTTCAGAGCTACATCTGCTCCCTTCACACAATACATTCTCATTACATGTAGATATCATGAAGAAGAAATCATTCACAGAACATGGTAGGAAACTAAATATATAATATAATCACATTTTGTTACCTGTCTTGTCAAGCACTGACTCTGACAGGCCTAACTACCACAGCTTAATTAAAAAAAAATAGGGAGAGCCAGAAGGTAACATCTGGGTATGTCCATTCTCCTGCCTCTAGGTATGTTTTCAATTCTGTATTTCTTTTTATTTTTGTATGTTTTCATGAACATCATCCATACATATTCAAAAGTAGTCTTCTGCATCTCTTGACTTCAGACCGAACATTCTCTTTTCTACATTACAAGATATCATTTGCAGAAAAAATGGTACACACCATTGAAGCAGTCAGTCTCAAAATTAAAATGAAAATATAATATGCAAATCATGCAATGTAAGCCTAAGATTGAATTAAAAAAATTCATTTCTACATGAAGATTTGGGCTCAAAATAAATATGAAAATTCAATAATTCCATTTACATTTGCCATTTGGTGCACTAGTATTGACATTTCATTGATACAGAGATTTAGATGCTTTATGCAGTGGTGTATGAGATGTTATGTCATAATCATGAAAATGATGCCTCCTAATTACAAGACAGTATCTCGTTATTATGAGAAAGTATCTCATTATTATGAAAAATGTCATAAAACAATATTATGTGATCATTTTGAGAGAGAACATTTTGTAATTCTGAGAAAATTTCTAATTATTATGAGACGTTAAAGATCTAATTTTTGTGAAATAAGCTAATGCCATAAGACTTGTAGGCTGCCAAATAGGTTAGATGCTGTTTTTCACTTGACTCAGTGGCACAGTTAACTGAGTTAATCAAATTTTACATCATGCTTGCCTTAATTCACGGTAAAACTTTAAGCCAGAAGCTGTAACCACCCTGCATGAGATGTGTGATGTTCAAAAATATGTTTTTATAGAGTTATTTCTACTCAGCTTTTTGAACGACACAGAAAAAACTGAAACCCTGCAGTATCTGTATTAACCAGTGGCTTTTCCAGAATGATTATTTGGCTCCATGTCTGCACAGCTAGGGTTTCATTTGAAGCTAGGCCTGGGATTCCTGTACAGTCTGCATCAGGAGATTCCTGCATCTCAGCTCGACACCCTGTGGATCTAAAACTTTAATTAAAAGCCTGATCATGTCTTGCGTGACAACAAATCCAGCTTGTAGACATTTGCAAAGTTGTAGTTTCTAACCAGGAAGCTTGTTGTTTACATTGCTCAGTTAGAATAATAGTAATACAGTGTCTAAGATGTCCGACTGAATTTTAGAGGCTTTACAGTCTTCAAATACTAATGAAAACACAATCTGTGCTGCTAAGTGGAAAATATTTCACTGTGACTAGGCAAGTGTAAAGTAAAATTTGATTGAGTTAATCAACTGCACCATTGAGTCAAGTGAAAACAGCATCTAGCCTATTTGGTGGCCTACGGGTAGCCTTTTATGGCATTAACTTATTTCACAAAAATTAGGTAAAAAATTGACATCCCATAATAATGAGAAATGTTCTCATAATTATGAGATGTTCTGTCTCGTAATTATGATGTTATTTTTACAAGATATTTTCTCATATGAGATGCTTTTTTTCAGAATTACGACATAACATCTAGAAGTAACGACATGCTGAAGGGTTTATTTTTCATTCTGCTTGGTAGTAACATGCCACAGTAGCTTTGAGTAACTTTAAATAAAGTAATAAAGTTAATGTACTTCCAGAACTGCATATTTATGCTTAATGTAATGAGGCAATAAAGGAGTCGAAAATGATAATTAAAACATAATTTAATTTAGCATTTGCACTCTTTAATAATGTTTTTGAAATTGCATTATCAAAGGGAACACCAAGGTAGAAAGATATCAAAATTCAAATGTAAAAGGGAAACAGCACCTCTCCACTTTGCAATTTGAAAACAGTTTGGTCTTATCAACACACACAATAGTGTGTATAATAATTGTTATTAGTTTGTGTGTGTATGAAACACAAAGAAAGAAGCAGCACAAGAAACAAGATTGCTGCCCACAACAGATTTCAATACAATGTACAAAAACTAGGAGTGAAATAACCCACACTGGCACCCCTGATATAGAACACATGGTGCTGAAATGCTTACACAGATTCTGAATGGTAATTACGAGTACCTGTAAACGACTCTGAGGACAGAATAACATTTCAGTTTTATTCAGCCTTTGAACAAAAGGAGCTGTGATCCTATGAAGAAAAAACACTCTCATTGTTCACATAATGAAATATTTTCACCGGTTATTAAATATATCAGAAGAATTATATTAACCTGCATCAAGCTATTCTGTGTATTATTTGCTAAAAATATAAATCTTGTTAAAGAAGTAACAATAAAACTATATACATTTTAGTAAAGCAAATGTCAATTGATTATGAAGACAAATGGTAACAATATTATTATTATTATTATTATTATTATTATTAACAACAACAACAACAACAGCAGCAAACATATTTCATACACATCAGAAAAAATTTGGATAATAATATGCGTTTAAAGGCTCAGTCATAGCATCTAATTACCAACACCACACTTACTAAAAGAGAGAATAAACTAATGTGCTGGATGTTTTAGGTGGAAGTGTCATTATTTAAATGATGAAATTATCTCTAATTGGGGTTTAACCCATTATTGAACTATGAATCCACTAAAAGACAGCCTTGCAAAATGCAAAACCACAAAGTGTGAGTTTCTGGCATTAAGGGTTAAAGCCCACAAGATTATAATCATGATGTAAAAACTTTCCACTGGACACTCATCAACATGATTTGTCTACTATCACTCCTCATATTGTGTTCAGCTCATCAGGTTTAGCTGTGAAATACACAAAGATGAACATTTCAAATTAATTACTTTTTATTATTTTGTACATAAATTATTTTCAAGCTAATGAAGAAACTGTTCTTACCTCGAGCTCTGTAGCATTTGACCATCAGCACAATGGACACCAGAAGATACGAAGACACTGCCATTAAACTACTGAGCAGACTGAACACTGAGAATGAAGATGCACCTGAAACACACACAAAACTGCAACTGTTGCAACTGTTGGAGGCGTGACAATATGAAACGCATAAAGAAAATTCTTTGTAATTATATGTACTTGATCACCTCTGACTGAGATCCAGCTCTGTGGTGACTCTCCCTTCTCTGGGTGTTTACAGTGGTAGAGACCTTCATCTGACTTTGAGACAGTACGGATGGTCATCTCTCCTGTAGTCTGAGTCTGGAGGGGTGATCCATCTTTATAGAACTCAGCTGTGAGGTTTGAGGGTTTTGGGTCACGATATAAACAGAGTAGAGTCAGAGGATCTCCCTCAGTCACAGGATGGACATAACTCTGCAGAATTACATCACCATCTGCAAGAAAGAGTAAGAAAACACTGAAAACAGAAAGTGTAGAAAACGGTAGAGAGAACTCAGAGAACTCAGTGAGAGAATCAAATCAGTGACAGAGATCAGAGATAGTGTGTTATAGTGTGTTATAACTGGAAGGTTGGGTGTTCAAATCCCACGACTGTCTAAGTATACCTGGTTGTGCCCTTAGGCTACCCTTGGGCAAGGCACTTAACCCCCCACTGTCCTAGATTGGGCATAGTTAGGCAGACAAATTTCTCTTCTAGGACCAATAAAAGTACAGAAGATAACATTAATGTTCACTCACTGTGCACTGTGATGTTGACAGGATTGCTGCTCTCTCCAGATTCAGACTCACACCAGTACACTCCAGTGTGGGATGTGTTGAGGGAGCTGATGTTGCATGTAGATCCTGTAACTGATCCCCAGCCTGATGAACAATCTGACACCTTCTCACTGTGTGTGTATCGTCTCACTCTCCATCCAGTAGAGTCACTCTGTCTCTCACAGCTCAGTGAGAGAGAGTCAGTAGTAAAGTGTTGAGTTCTGTTGGGACTGACCATCAGAGAGACTAGAGGAGATGCACCTAGGATAATACAATGTAGACTGCAATAATCAATGATGCACTGATACACAGATGAGCTTTTTATGTCAGGCAGAGATTTTTTTATTATTCTGTGGAGCAGTGGTCATTATGCATGTTCAATGATTTTATATGTCAGACTAATGAACAGAGATGTTAACCAGTTTCAGTGATTCCTTCAAGTCTTTAGCTGTTACTCCACTTGAATATTGTGTGCTGTGCCTTTGGAGTGATCTTGGTTCAATGCCCACTTCTAGGGAGAGTAGACGCAGTACTAAATTGTCTCCTTTTATAAACAATCTGTCTGTAAATGTAGGGAGATGAATATCTAAACTCTTTTAGATTAACTCATTGTCTATCCCTTTGTAGCTTTATTCAAAATAAATGTTGATCATAGGTCTTCTGAGCTGTGTTTTTGCCAAACGCGGTTCACATCTGCAGATGCTTTTTGTTAACACAAAACCCAAATGTTTGAGTGGTTTTTGTAAGTCAAAGTAGTTCCAACTCACACATCCAATTTCTGCTAACTCCTGACACCAATTAGCTTTTGTTTAAATCATTAGACTAGGTGTTTGCATATTATATATATAAGAAGAACACATTGTTTTTGTGTTATTAGTTTAAACAGTCTGTGTTTGTTGTTTATTGTAACTTAGATGAAGACCAGACCATAATTTAAGATTACTTTATATGTATTGTCATTATGCCCATTTATAAATGCAGGTAATTCCAAAAAGTACCAGAAAAATACTTGTTTTATTTACTACAATATACAATTACTGTTCATTGCTATAATCTTTTGTAATCTTTAAATACAGTGTTACTGTTTTTTTTGTTATTATTTGCAGATATTTACCATTTGTACAGCATTGTTTATAAACAGCATCATTGCACTTTACTGTACTTATTCCTAATTTCAGAATAATACTGTAATTACAAAAAGTTCTTCTCATTTTTGCATTATTTAAAAACAATATCTAATTACTGTAAATTACATTTTAATTGTAATTACATTTTTTTTCAAAAAAGTTTCAGCGCATCATGGAATAATGACTTTATCACACTTAGTACACTGATGGTCATAGTACAGTAGGGTCCGCCCTTGTAATGTGATTGGCTAAGAGGAATTCTATGAGTGCTGATGGCTGTTAACACATCTTCTACAGAGACCACACTTCGGCACATTTTAATTCATAACTACTGTTTATTTGCTGAATGTAACATATTAGGAAAGAACAAAACATACAATGTGGCTAGTATAAAAGTTATGGTGCATTTTAAACTCTATATTTTGTCCTAATAATTTCCATTACGTTAAACTCAGTAAAAAAAACAAAAAAAACAAAAAAAAACAAACACCAACCTTTCCACAACATGATATATTTAAGCTTATTTCTTACCATAGAAAATGAAGAAAACAAGTCATTTGACCAAAGGTATTCAAACTTTTGCCTACAACTGTATGGTGGCAGATCTGACCAGCATGTGGAGCCCCAGAGCTACCAGATCAGGCAAAATCAAGGGAAGCAGATAGGAAAAAAGTCTTATTCAACTTCATCTCAGCCTGAGATGCTCCACCAACATAGAACCAGAGATTTTCTGGTTTGCACTCTAATTGTGTTGAGATGCATTCTGACTGGCTTTCTGCCCTTATATGTATGCATTTCCATCCAGTGTTTTCTATCATTCAGATGGGAAACAAAGTTTTTCTGCCTGTGCTGGACATTGTGACAAAAAATGGGCCTTATCCATGGGATTTTCAGTTGCACCAAACATCAGGATGTGGATGACTGTTTCGCATGTCAGTCAAACATATGTCAGTCAAAGCAAATCATGTCTGTCAATCAAATCTACTCAGACTCAGAAATCTTAATATGGGCATGAATGGGACTACAGACTGTTGATATGTTTTCAGAGGTCTATGGCACTCTGACCAAATCACTAGCTGCAAGCTAACAACTGCAATCAGCAATTGATGAAGTAACAAGCCTTCCAAAAAATACTAATGAATAACATTTTGTCCCAAAAAGCAAGCAACAAGACTCAAAAGTGTTCCAATTGTTATCAACAAATTGTAAGAGGGCTGTTTAAAAGGCTTAAGGTATAATGTACATAAAAAGTGTCCAAGACACGTTCATGTTTAAATCTGCTGTCTACCGTTTATACATTCAACGCTGTATATAAACACTTGTAACAAAGTCTTCTACTCACCAGTAACGCATAACCACAGAGCATCACTGTAGTGAGTGTAGTAGACTGGGTTTCCTCTACCAGCTCTGCACCAGTGCTGTCCTCCATCAGAGACACTGACTGAGCTGATGGTGTAGGAGTGAGTTTCAGTCTTGATCTCATTCTCAGGGTTCTGTGTGTGTTTGAACCAGTAAAACTTCCATCCAGCAGACTGATCCAGATTACAGTACAGAACCACTGGATTTCCTATCAGTGCAGGTCCTTTATGGTTTGATGTGAGTTCAGGTTTAGGTTTTTCTGCTGTTGGAGATGAAGCACATAGTTCAGACCATGAAGAGACCAAACTCCCAACCTAAACACTCAGATTATCTTCCAAACAAATCAGTATTATTTGATGGAATTGAGAATATCTTTGTCAAACTAAAGTTCAATTTTAGAACAGTCACATGTCAAAATAATACATAAGTAAAACTTCAGAAACAGATGTCAAAACTCTGATAAGAAGCCACTAAACATACAAATAAAAAAGAAATACAGATATACATGGATGACCGACACAAATTGTGTAGCAACAGATGAGCTACTGTTTCTGAATTTTCATTGACAAGGTGGACCAACAAGGTAGGAGTGTTTAACAGAGTGAACAGTGAGTGGACATTATTTTTCTTGATCTTAGGAATTCAATTTGCTTGTGAAAAAATTAAAATTCCACTAGCAATTATTACATTTCAACTAGACAATATTCTGTTTTTATTTTTAAGAAACGAATTTTCACTAGTTAATGTCATTTTCATGTGTAAATTTAATTCCTTTGCAAGATATATTGTAAATTTAGGATTAAAAGCTAAAATTGCTTTTTGCAGTCTGAAAATGTAATTAGAATATCAACAAGTTAAAGCACATTTTACTTATTTAGATTCCAAGCTAAACCTACTTTCCCAACCATGGAATTTAATTCAGGAAGAAAAGGCTGTTTTACGTACAGTGCCAAAGGCAAATATTTGAGGACTCTGTTAATAAAGTTGTTCTCTGTAACATCTAAATTTGCATTTCTTGAGGCAAAACTTTGTGGAAATCTGAAATCCTCTGTTCTCCTACAACTGAAGGTTTGCTGTCATGCTCAGTCCAAACAGATCAAAATGTACTTTTGTTTAATCAGCCAAGAAAATATAATTTAATCCATATTGGCTTCTTACCAGGGAAAATTACCATCAGAGTGGTTCAGACGTTATTTTTGAGTGATTATCGCCATGTTATGAATTGATAACGTCACATATAAATGAAGGAAACATGCAGCCATGCCTCAATCCTTGTAATCCTTGGTAATCAATGAGCAAACATGTTCCTCTTAATGTCACTGTAAATCTGGCGCTACATTTTATGAATCTGCCACCTGTCCCAAAGACTTGAGGCAGCACCCAGAACCATTTCCAAGCTTGTCTGGAAGGGGCTCATTATTGCTGGCTTGCTTTCACACACAAGAATTCCATCTGACCCATGGATTGATTGCACAATTCCATATGTCACTTTTCTGCATTCAGGTTTGCAAAATGGTAGGCATTAGCTTAATTCTTGGATACAAGCACAGAAGTGGCAAAGAAGAGTGCTTTTTGGATAGGCTACATGGCATTTCACCAAGCAGAAGCACCTGCAAGAAAAGGAGCAGTTCTGGTCTGAGAAGGAAGTGAAGTGACGTGATAAGTTGAAACAGTCATGTTACAAAATGAACCAGTGACACAACCCCGTATGTGGCACTGGAAGCAGATAAATTTCACACATGCAGTGGACTGCACCAGAGACCACTGATTTCAGGAGAACCAGAGATCTGCTTTATAGTCTGAAAATGCCCTTAGAATAAATTAAATAGTCAACAGGGATTTGCCTTGAAACTCTGCTCACACTGTAAGGGCTTTTTCACACTTGTCTCAACTATGTGAGCCTGCACCCAGGGCTGATTCCGTGATTGTTTTGGGGGAGGAACTTATTATCGCAGGTTTACTTTCATAAACAAGAATTTCATCCAAATCGTGGATCGATCTGAATTGTGACCAATATGTCACTTTCTTGCATGCAGGTGTGCAAAATGGTAGGCACTAGCTTCATCCATTTGCTGCTTTTTTATTCTTTTTCTTGGATACAAACACTCAAGCAGTAAAGAACAGTTCTTTTTGGATATATGGCATTTTACAGTCACCATAAAAGTTGAAAAGGTAAGTGACAAGTCAAAGCAGTCACATTACAAAATCAACTAATCAGGCAACCCCACCCATGGCGCCAGGAGTGGATAGCTTCCAAATGCACAGCAGACCGCTCCAAAGTTCGCTGGAAGTGATGCCCAGACCACCAATTTCGAGAGGACTAGAGACTGGAACACTGGACTGCTCCCAGGTTTGAAAACAGCTTTCACACTTGACCAAAAGTACCAAACTTGCAGATCAAATGGTGCTGGGTCCGGAAAAAAAAAAACTCTAGTGTGAAAAGGCCCTAAAACTGATCCAAAGACCCAGTGGTGTTGAATATTTTAACAAAGAGATGAACAAACTCACCTGACACAAACAGTTTAACAGGATCACTGAATCTTGTTCTCTTTAGGTCACCTCGAGTCCACGTTTCCGTGCAGATAAAATCAGTGTTGTCATTTTCTGTCGCCTTGAATGTGTATTCACTTTTCATTTCAGAAGGATAAACATTTCGATTTTTATACCAGCTGTAAGTCTTCACATGGCCTTCTTCTCCCTTTATTTCACATTTTAGAGTGACAGTTTCACCTATGAATATTTTTTTCTCATCTGAAGAAATTAAAGGCTCTTTAAATTTAACCTCTGGCCACTCTGTAAGAATCCAACAACAAATATTTATCGGTAAAGGAAAGACGTCACTGATTTACAGTGATCAAATATACATCAACACAATCAGTTTAATTTGCATATTAGGACACTTTACATAGTCATCTAATAAATGAAATGTTTAAATTGTGCATTTAAGTGTTTATGAGTGCAAATAAAATATTCCAGTACAGGTGAATTTTTCACCTTGAGTTTTTCCACTGAGGATGAGGACAGTCAGCACTAAATCAGGGACAGAAACAGGATTAATATGAAATATAAAATATTAGCTGGTATCATGGGTAAATTGTATCAACATGAAATACAGCAACTCAAATCTAAAACTAAATAAACAAAAAAACAAAAGTAGGCATCTTTTCACATATTTTCATGTCATGCCTTTGTTTTTTGCACCAAATTATGGACAGAAGTATCAACAAGACGATCGATAAGTATCAGTATCGATAAGCAGTTTCAGTATTGATATCAGTATCAATAAAATTCTAACAATGCTTAACTCTAGTCCAAATGAAAGCAAGACTGACTCAATGACAAAACCCAACAAATTGAATCTTGTTTGTGACCAGGCCTTCATTAGTCTTCATTAATCTCCTTCTGGTACAAATTATTGGAAAAATACAGCTGTAGGTTATCTGACTATGACAAACTTGACTAAATACTTCTGCAACAGAATGCTTTAAATTACTTTAGATTTAACAGAACAAATAACAAAACATATTCTAGGCTACTTGTTGAGGTATAACAACACAGAAACATAACTACTTATTGAGTTTAAAACATCACTAAATATCAGAAATTAACCAAGTAATACCAGATCAGGGTACGGATCATCCAGTGGGTTTCTTGGGTGCGTGCCCAGGGGCCCAAGCCACAGTCTGCTTATCCAAAATCCATTCAAATAAAGTTGTATTGTCTATTTGTTATTTTTGTACTTATTTTGTGCATAAATATTGTCTGTCAACCAACAAGTACATGTGCACTCATGTTTCTGTCTTAAAGTTTATGCAATAGAGCAGTAGCCCAAACATGTTTTGTTACACTGTACTCCTGTATATGCATAATGACAAAGTTGAATTTCATTTCGTTTTAGTCCATTTCATTGTCTGACTTTCTGCTAGGACCCTTCAACACTTCTGCCACAAGTCAGGCCCTGGATATTATAGTCATATGCTAATGTTTGCACTTCTAGCTAAATGTATGTTTAGTAAACACTTTATTTATTCGTTTATTTATTTTGTTGATTTCTTTTAACACTTGCTCTAAAGCGTGGTACAAAAACAGGCCTAGGTCAAAATGGAGAGAGCAAATACATGATAGATGGGGCTGAGCAAAAGAGAAGTCAAGTTCAGGTTCAGGTCAAAAAGCCAAACAGAGGATCCAAAAACCAGTAACCAAAATCAAAAGAAATAGGCCAAAGTTAGAAAAATAAAACAGAAGAAACTAACAATGGGAAATGCTTGGTATGTTGGCAGGGGCAATAGATCACTGTTGTGTCATCAATTTGTAGTTTGCCACTATTGCTGCACTACTGAAGGTGGAATTGAACTGCTAAACAGTGTTTGAGAGATTTGAAGCCTTTTATGTTTGTCTACCCTTTCATGGACATGCTCTGAACTATTTCAAAACTACAGTATTTTAAGCCCATTATAGTGTAAAATACTAATCATAATGAGCTATTCGGCAAAATGGCTGACAAAGCCAATTTGTTTTTGTTTATGTTGTTTTCTTTCACAACATAACTGATTTCCAACCAAAGAGTAGACACAGTAACCTACCAAATTTATCTTACCTTATTATTCAGAAAATTTGTGAGAACACAAAAAAATTACGTTCTTTGATAATGACCCACAATGCAGAGGGGGCAATTTTGATAAAACATGGACCTCTGTCTGAAACTTTTCACACTTGCCATGAAAGAAAAGCTTGTAAACTATCTGAACTACATTCAGTTACTGAATCACACAGAAGCTGATCACTCAGAACCCTCAGACTGAATATTAACACCTTCATACAGCAGCTCTCACTCTAATGAAGACATAAAGAGAACATTTACTCACAGAGTATTACAGAGAGTGACCTGAACTCCATCCTGTCCCCGAAATGACTGACTGACTGAGCAGTGCATGCAACACTTCCTGTGTTCTTACACTCAAAGCACACGTCACAGACAGAAAACAATACATTACAGCAAAGCTCAAAAGAAGAACTCCTGAGCACCAACATCTCATAGACCAATCCTTACATCCTTTAAAACATTGTTTTCAAATATTACTCTGACCTTCCAAGCTACAGTGCAGTCAATATGTATCTGTAGCACCTATATCGCTCATGTGATTTACTGCATGGTGTGATTATCTGAGTGCAGCTCTGTGGGTTGTGTCTATTTTGATTACTCAGATCATTTGAAGTTTGCTTTCCAGTTTTTCTTCTGTTTTAATTTCTATACAATCTATTTGAGGTTGAAATTAAAGCTAATAAAAAAAAATCAAGCTTTGTTTGGGGCCTACTCTGTCACGCACTCTGCATCACTGAGTTTCAATTCCTCACTGGTTAATGAGGTCATTTCCTCAAATGAACTCCTCTCTGGGCCTCAAACATCTACTGATAGGACTGTGACTGTGTGACCAGTGAGATGGTAGTTTTGACATTCTGTGTCTGTCTTTTTGGCTTCTGGGTCATTCAACGCCAGCTCTCCTAGGGCCTGTCTTGTCACTTCATGGATTATCAGGAAAAAAACACAAGAGAAAATGCAAGTAATACATGTCATGTAGTGTGAGATGCTCAGCGATTCTGAGAAACTAAAAGTCATGTAGTGTCCACTTGACATGTAATAGTCTTTAATAATATTTTGCCAAGCTTGCATTTTGTGTTTTTATATTTTCATATTGACATGCAAGTCATTAATAAACTATAATTGGATTGTTACTTTTTTCTTTTTCTTCTTTGTAAATTGTATGTAAGTTTCATAAGTTCTATATAACATAAGTGCTATATGTTGGCTATAGCCTTTTGATCTGGCCCCCCCATTCATTTGTCAGACCGGATTTGTACCTTTGGCAGACAGACCTCCAAATAGGTAATCTCTACAACCAAAAGTATGTGGACATCCCTCCTTATTATTGGGTTCAGGCTGAAACATCTAACTGCTAACAGTACAAAATCAAGCACATAAACATGCATCTCCTTAGACACACATTAGCAGTACACTCTTAAAAAAAGATGGTTCTTAAAGGTTTCTTTAGTACAGAACCAAGAACACTCAAACAACCATTCACGTGATTAAAGAGTGTTTTGCATGGTGAAATGGTTCTGTAGATTGAATTGTGGGTGATGGATGAATCTGGCTGTAGTGGATGCCAGGAGAATGCTAGCTATCAGAATGCATAGTGCCAACAGTAAAGTTTGGTGGAGGAGGGACAATGGTCTGAGGCTGTTTTTCAAGACCTACACAGAGTGGCCTGGACAGAGCCCCAGTATTGGCCTCACTGAGTACATTTGGGAAGAGCTGGAATGTTGATTGTGAGCAAATGTGAGCACAGTTGAATGAGCACAATCACTTGAATTCCCTCAGACACAATCCAAAATCTTGAGAAAAGCCTTCCCAGAGGAGTGGAGGCTGTTATATCAGCGAAAGTATGGCTACTTCCATATTAATGTCCATGGTTTTTGAATGGGATGTCCAGCAAGCTCATGTAGGTGAGACAGACAGTTATCAACATATCTATATACAATCTTGCCCTAGTGAGTACTTAAACCTTGATTAGTGTGTGTTGTGTTGGTATGAGTGGGTCAGACACAGCAGTGCTGCTGGAGTTTATAAGCACCTCAGTGTCATTGCTGGACTAAGAATAGTCCACCAACCAAAAATATCCAGCCAACAGCATCTTGTTGGCAGCATCCTGTGCAACAGTTGAGCTATCGTCTCTGACTTTAGATCTACAAGGTGGACCAACAAGGTAGGAGTGTCTAATGGACTCGACAGAGAGTGGACACAATGTTTAAAAACTCCAGCAGCACTGCTGTGTCTGATCCACACCTAATAAATGAGCCCTAATGTACATTCAAACATCTACATATATCCAGTCCTAATCTGGTGCAGTATTTTAAGACCTGCTGTAGATTATGGAAAAAGTCAAGGTGTTACAGCCCCTGCTACACTACAGGCTTCAAAGTTCCTATCTAATAGCCTGCATTTCACAGCCAAGTCTCTCATCACACAGCCCAGCAATCAAGTCCTACAAGCAGATGCTCTAAAAAGCTCATTAGGTTTATCCCGTCACCTACCGTTTACCTTGTGAGCTGCTTACACATTCATGTTTAAAGTATGAGAATCTGTGAGGAACGTGACAGATACTCAGTACAGCAGTACGGCGATTCTGAGACTTAAAGTTGGGTCCACTTGACCTAACATTGATCAGCTTTTACACCCTTTAAAGTTCTGCTCAACCTTTTGGTCGAGCACATTTTGAGTCACTATATATGTTCTAATTTTGCCACAAAGTGCCATCTCAACAGTTTGGTAAATGTGAATATTTTAAAAACTGTGGGGACAAAAAAGTGAAAAAAAAACAAAACATCAATTGCAAAAGGACCAAGCTGAACAAAGTTATAGAAAAGTTATAGACAGCAAAATGATGGTGAATGTACGAAGCTAAAGTTGACATTTTATTCGCCAGCAGTTTCTTATTCAAATTTTCCGTTTCACCTTAAAGGCTTATGTTCCAGCGTATCACTGCTGCACCATTTAAGGTTGAACGATAAATTCCAATACAAAGCTGTCAAATAAAGAGTCAACTTCAGCCTCGGGGTGAATGTTGTGCTTGTTTTTCCTGTAGAAGCTGTTTAAATTAGTCAAACAGAGACAGCTGTGTTTCTTTTTTTTTTTGCTACTATGAAGAAAACTGTCAGCTCAACTGTTTCACCAGTATGACTGGAGTTTATGTGCTGAATAAGGGCACAGTTTTGTCTGCAGTCAAAAGCCTCTTCATGTTTCCTCCACTTTGGGTCTCAATTCTTTCTGAGTGATGAGGCTCAAGCCCAAGTCAAAGTCTGAGTCATCAATGTTCAAGTCAAAGTCAAGTCACAAGTCTTTCTTGATTCTGTTGAGTCACAAGTCATCAAATTCGTGACTCCAGGTGGAATCAAGTCCAAGTCATATGACTCGAGTACACACCTCTGGTGAGTAGCGTTTTTTTATTGGAGTTTTTCTGTTCAGTATTCATGGACAGATGCCTATGCTTTTTAAATTTTTGATGAAAGCTGAAAACAGTGAATCTGTTTTTATTTTTGTTGTGTAAGATGTCAGTAACCTTCTGTGTAGTGCTGAATTGGCTCTACTGATGACTTTATTCTCACTGAACATGATACAAAAGGACTGACTGGTGTGAACATGTGCACAACTGTGCTTTACTGTTTCTGAAGTGACAAGCAGAGCACAGGGTCTTTCAGCACTAACTTCACATATCACACCTACAGAACTGAAGTATAGCACATATAAACCACAACAACCAAGCCTACACCCATTCTAGGAAATTGTCATCACAGACAGAAACTGTTTGTTCAAGATAAGAAAAGTTCCACGCAGTTGGGCCAACGGCAGCTCTCCAGCTGGCCACCATCCTTTCTCTGCTGCTCGCTGTGCCATAGACGGTGGCAGGAATGCTGCTTGTGTGTGTTGGGGCCCTGCCTCTGCCACTGATGACTGACCTGAGGTGGATGATGGTTGCCTTTCAGTTGTTTGATGTGCCCCTCTGTTTGCGTGAGCACACCTGGTTGCAGTGGGGATATCGGCGAACCCGTGATGAGGAATGCAATGAGCCATCTACCATCCACATAGCCCTCACAGACAATGCCTCCGGCCTTCACTCTTGCCACGCCAGTACCATCAACCCATAAGACGGGTCCTTAAATTAACCCTGACACAAAATAACAAGTAACACAACACTTCTTCACACTAACAAACTATATTTGAATACATTAAAGTCTCTTTTAGGAGGGTACTCACCTACCAGGAGCCTCCACATGTGGCCACTCACATAGCCACACCTCCCAAGCTTCTCTGAGCCACCACCAGCCAGTAGCAATTCTCTATAATATGTAGAGATCAACATAATCTCTATACAGTTCTAGTCACTAACCTTAAACAAGTTTCATAAAGCTAGTTCTGTTGTCATTTGTCAATATATGTAAGCTCTAATTCTAATTGTACTGTGTTCTTCTAGTTTTGGTTTTAATTATATCATAGAATTCTATATAAAATAAGTGCTACATGATGACTATAACTTCTTGACCTTGTCCCCTCACTAGTCCGTCCAAGTTTGTACCCTTTAAGACAATCCTCCAAACCAGGTCTATACAGTCCTGCAACAGTAAATCTAGAAGGAGATTCTGGTGTATGTTTTTATAGGCTGAAACAAAATTGAGTCCTGATGTAAACTCTAACAAAGAGCCCTACATCACCTACACCTTCCCACTCTAAGTATGATTTAATAGATATTTATTTAGTAGGTATAAGATAATATATACAATCTAAATGCATAAATGTGTCAGGAAACACAGATGGGCCTGTAATGAGCAGCTGACTTGCATTAGGAAGTGGAGGGTTTTCTTATTTAAGAAGACAGGAAATGCAGCAAGAGGCTCCTTATAGAGACTAAGTTAATGTTTTTTTTTCCTTTTTCATGTCATGACCTTACATGTCTAGGGTTGAATTAAGGCTGAGTGTATATGGATTGTAATTTTCAAAAAAATGCAGCCCTAAAAACTGGCAACTAACCAAATTCAATTATCCCCACATGGCACAAATAAGGGCATTAAATAGCTCAAACTGGCAACCCAGAACATATGGTACTGAAATGCCTCTACAGTCCTGGTGCTGGAGATCTACCACCTGTAGAGTTTGATAGTAGAGCTTCAGGTTTGAGAAGTGGGCCTGATACAGCGGCCGGGAATATGAACCACATCTAGTGCAAGAATCAGTGGTTGAGTGGTAAGAAAGCAAAGATGATTTTAGACTCAACATTTCTCTGAACCAGAAGTGCTTTAAAATGACTACCATCATTTCTGTACCAAAGAAATCATCCACATCTTGCCT